GACCCTCCAGGTCTGAGCTTACCTGGCCTTCCTCCACAGGCGCCTAATTTTTAGGGGAGCGAAACAGGAAAAAAAAATATATATATATACAGTGGTGCCTCACTTAGCAACGTTAAGCCGTTCCAGGAAAACGACGCTAAGTGATTTAATCGCTAAGCGATTTTAAAAAGCCCATAGGAACGTATTAAAACGCATTTAATATGTTCTTATGGGCTTAAAAACTCACCTTATGTGAAATTCCTCCATAGTGGCGGCCATTTTGGGTGCCTCAGCCTCGTAGACCCTCCAGGTCTGAGCTTACCTGGCCTTCCTCCACAGCTTTTTCCTAACTGTGGGGGCAAAAGAGCTGCCAAGAAGCAGCCTCTTATGTTACCTGCAGTTAGGAATTTGAATTGCACCCCTTTTTTTAAACAAAAAGTTCACCACCTTTCCAGTTACGATGTGAAATTAAGATTAGAAAAGGAATGGTGGAGTGGAATTTTCATTTTAAATAAATAAATAAACAACCCTGTGCCATAGTTTCCAAGGTTACAGCCTTCTCAGACCATTTCAGCATACTGACAAAATTAAAGGCGGGAGGACTAGAGAGAGAGAGAGCAAAGGATAAAATGTTGTGGCAGCTTAAAGACTAACCAAAATTTCCTACATCAAAGTACATGTTGTGTCTAAGGAAGTGGATTACGTTCCACAAAAGCTCACACTGAAAAATCCTTCAGGGGTGGTTTGCCCTTTGCTTCCATCACAAAAAATAAAAAACACAAATCCTTTCATTCATTCATTCATTCATTCCTACCCCATGCCACAGGCTAACCTGAGAGAGAGAGAGAGAGAACAGACCCCAGGCCAGCCATCTGCTTAGCATCACTCCATGGAAATCAGAACTCAGGTCTCCCCAAAGTCAATGCCATTGTTGTACCTAGATGTACAAAATAATCCGGGTGGATGATATTGTTGTGAAGAGCTAAACAGAGAATAGTGTACTGTCTCCCCTTTTGCACTGTGTTTTGAACACCCAAGATAATTTAAAACAGGGATAGTAAATGTGGGGTCCTCCAGCAGACACTTGTGGTAAATGTGGAAGTCCCAATCCTCATCATGACACTCCCCATAGGTACTCTGCCCCATAAGGAGAACCTAAACATGTAGGAAACTGAATTAGTGAATTTTAGCAATTAAGACACAGGTCTTTTGTGAAGTTAACGACTCTAAATTGTACATTTAAGACCAACCCACCATGAAATACTGTGCATAGCAACATGGAGAGCTTGTAGCTGTACACTCTTCTTGGGAAAACCCATGTCTTTCCCAGCTATTTATTTATTTATTTATTTGATTTTTACCCCACCCCTCTAGACCATGTCTGCTCTAGACCAGTGGTTCTTAACGTGGGCGATAATGCCCCCCAGGGACCATGTCTATTCCAAAGGTTGTGGCCAAACGCAGAGGCAACAGGGAAGCTTTATTGGAGTGGCAGATAAGATCAGATTCCCTATGTTGCGTCCACCCAGTGTCCTTTGTTTATTTTCCCTAAACACAAGTCCACCCTCTGGATGTGTTTCCTCACTTCACGCTGCCACCAGGTATTATTTATTCAATACCAAATAGATATATATTAGACACGTGCTGCCAATACAACCGATTTATTGATATTACAGTTGTTATGCAAATCACAGATGTAAATCAGTGATGTTTAGGATGATTTATTAAATAGTATTTGATTCCACGTTGGTTTGTATGTGTTTTCATTCACTTTAACAATACTCTTTGTTTATCTATTTATTCTCTATATTTTTTAACTCTTTCTTATTCTCTCCAACATTCCACCTTTCCAATCTCTGTCTTAACTTTCTCAATTCAATCTCCTAACTCTCTCTCTTCAATTCCCTATCTCACAACCTCTTTTCTCTAACTCCCCTTCTGTCTAACTAAATGTCAATCTTCTTTTGGCTCCGCCCTTCCTGTCCTCTCATAGGCTCCTGCCCTTGAGCTCCCCATGATGGACAGGCGTGACATGGGGCATTCTGCCACACCCTGCTGCTCAAAAAGCCCCATGGTTTCCACCCTGCATGCCCTGGCTCCACTACACCACCATCCTCCACACATTTCTGAGACCCAGCTCTCATCATCCTATCCTAACTATTGGCTGCTGGCAATTCAACAATAACCAAGTTTCTCATCTCCACCCAAACACAATGCTCACCACCTCCCGAAATATTTGGCTCCCTTGTCGTACTGCTCTAACTGTTAAGATGTTTTCCTTGATATTCAGCCTAAATTTGGCTTGCCCTAGCTTGAGGCCATTGTTATGTGTCTTGTACTCTGGGATGATACAGAGCCTATACTTAACTTGTAAACCACCTAGGGAGTGCTTGAAGCACTATAGGGCGGTATATAAGCAGCATGATTTGATTTGCTTTACGATCAAGAACAGATCCTGTCCCTCCTCTGTATGACTACCTTTCTAGTATTTGAAAAGTGATGTCCTATTTTTGCTGTCTTCCTTTCTCAAGGCTAAACATGCCCAGTTCTTTCAGCCTTTCCTCATAAGGCTTGGTTTCCAGCCCCCTGATCATCCTTATCACTCTTCTGAACTTGTTCCAGTTTGTCAGCATCCTTCTTGAAGTGTGGTGTCCAGAACTGGACACAACGCTCAAGGTGAGGCTTAACTAGTGCTGAATAGAGGGGGACTAGCACCTCACGGGATTTGGAGACTATAATTCTGTTAATGCAGCCTAAAATTGCATTGGCCTTTTTTGCAGACAAATTGCACTGTTGGCTCATATTCAGCTTTTGATTTATAACAGTTCCAAGATCCTTCTCACACACAGTGTCACTGAGCCAAGAATTTCCCACCTTTGTAACTGTGCATTTGGGTTTTTGTCCCCTAAGCATAGAACTTTGCACTTATCCCTGTTAAATTTCATTCTGTTGTTTCCAGCCCAGTGCTCCAGCCTATCAAGACCATTTTGAATGCAGTTTCTGTCTTCCAGGCTATTAGACATTCCATTCAATTTTGTGTCATCAGCAAATTTGATCAGCATTCCCTGCATTCCCTCCTCCAAGCCCTTTAATAGAGTGCCAGGCCCAGGACTGAGCCCTGGGGTACCCCACACTTGTGACCTCCTCCCAGTTTGAGATAGAGCCATTGATCATCACCCTCCAAGTATGATTCTGTCACCAACTGTGTATCTACCCGACACTTGATCCATCCAGTTTGCACCTTATTAGCTTTTTGCACTGTGTTTTGAACACCCAAGAAAATTTAAAACAGGGATTGTAATAAGGCTGATGTCTTCCGCTGCCATCATTTTTTGCAAATTAAAAGTTTCCGACACTTCACCCTGCAAAAAAGATTCAATGGCTCCCTTGGGATGCCTTTCTGGGGGAGCCTTAGGGGGCCACAGTATGGGAGGGTCTTCAATGGACAAAAATCCCAACCAACATTCTGTCCCATTCTTCATAATGGCTAAAGAGATGCCTCTAAGGTCGTTATGTAGGAGGGCAATAGGTGTATTAGGATGTATGATGCCTCCGATTCAAATCAACCCTGAAGCTGAGGCTCCAATCCTTTGGCCATCTCATGAGAAGAGAAGACTCCCTGGAAAAGACCCTGATGTTGGGAAACTGTGAAGGCAAAAGGAGAAGGGGACGACAGAGGACGAGATGGATGGACAGGGTCATCGAAGCTACAAAAATGAATTTGGTACCAAACTCCAGGAGGCAGTGGAAGACAGGAGGGCCTGGCGTGCTCTGGTTCATGGGGTCACAAAGAGTCGGACACAACGACTAAACAATGCCTCCGATTCTGAATGTACCATGGAGCCATTACAATTAATAGCTTCCATAGTCTCATTCTCCACGAATCTGTCAAATTAAATTGGTGACTACATGCACTGTAAGTGGTAGCATTTAATTTTTCTTCTTTTCCGTTATTTCTTTGGTCCTAATCATCTTTCTCGTCAGCTTCACCGGATAGTCCAAGTTCCGGTATTGTGACAGACTGAGAAAAGCACCTCCATATCCTATTTCCCACATTGGGCATAATAATAATGACAATAGAACTGCAGAGCTGGAAGGGACCCTGTGGATCATTGAGTCCAGCCCGTCAAGGGAATCGAACTCCCAACCTCTCGCTCTGCAGCCAGATACTTCAACCACTGAGCTATGCACCTCTATCATGAGTCTCATTAAATTACTCTTCTTTCCGCACTCACATATTATAACATTTCCTGATAGGTGAGTTGCCCAAAACTCTCTTTGAGTTTTGACTGTCTTTTTTCTACTCCTTGTCCAGATACCCTCCCACATCTCAAATTAAAAAAAGGATGCTTCCAAACTTTAGGTAAAGGTTCCCCTTGACATTGAGTCCAGTCGTGTCCTACTCTAGGGCACAGTGCTCATCCCC